ACAAAGAAAAATTTCCGGACAAGATTATTTTTTTGTTGTTGTGATGTAACCAGTTTTATATTAGGCATTATTGATATTCATTTATTTGATGGTAGGTAAAATTAAAAATTAGATTTCTCTTATCATCATTCACTAAAAATAATCATTAATTCATTTCATTTTAACTATAAACTAATGAAAATTTAAAAGTGTTGCCAGCAAGAAAAATTGATCATTAAATCAATCTTTACATTGTTTTCAGATTATACAATATGCCTTTTTTTATTTTATTCACTGAGATGAAATGAATAATCTCTATCTAGATAGTATTACATTTGTTTCAACGGATTAGTTTACTCTTGAAACTTTTATTACCATTCTAGATAATTTTATCAAAAATGAAAGTAAAAAGTAGGGAACTATTGAATTTATTTCATAGATTATTAATAGCTTATTTTGTCTACTGGAAAATCGACTGTTTATTCCATTGAATTATTTTGTTGTTATATTCTTATTTACATAAATTTTTCTTCTATTTGTCCTCATTTATAATTTCATAGTTGGTTATTATATTTCTGATAAAGGTACATATCATAAAATCTACGGAATGCTATCTAACCTAAATACTTTCTGACCTTCATTTTCTTTTAACCTTTGTTGAAATTTGAAACATTTTATCAACTTGTATTCATAATCTTTTACATTGTATCGATATAATTGAACATATATATTTTGACATCTAACTGTTTTAAATGAAGTCAGTGTTGATAATGTATTTTACAAGGACAATAAAAAACTTTGTACTTTGACTATTCGAATAACGGTTCACTATTGAAATTGCTCTCTTTCTTTACAATATTTTTCACTATTTTTATTACCCTTCCTTAACTGTATGACTAATAATCTTCTTTTAGGTATTTTTTAGAACTGTCGAATTGATTGGATAATTCTTTTTTGATGGATAATTTTCTTTCGAAACGATGCATAATGCGTTAGATTTCTACACATGAGAGTACCAATAATAACTAAGATAAAGTTTACTGCAGATGACAAGACACAAATAAACGTAAAAATGTGCTGTATAATAGTAAACCGCATACTTAGTTAAGGAGTCAGATTGAAGAAAACGTAGTGTAACAAACGAATGATTGTTATGCTAACTAAACTTGGCTATTCTATAATATACATTTTCAACGAACTTCTATGGACTATTCAGTACAGTTTACTGAACTGAATAAACTTTTGAGATTTCGTAGGAGAAACATATACACTTTCTGAATAATCAGCAACAGGTCTTAACATATAGTGAATATCATTAATTGCAATTTTAAAAACAGTCATTTGTTATTATGTCCCTCATTTGGCTTGTTTGTACTGCAATATTCAAATGGGCTATATAAATATATATAATACGAAGATAAAGTACATTCACCAGTACATTCTCAGTCAAAATATTTCACTTATAATGTGTTTTATACATCAATTTATATGATTAAACAATTATTTTTAGTAAAAAATTTACAGAATTTCAAATCGCTTCTTTTAAAATTGATCATTAATTTCCGAAATCGCAAAATTGCACGACCATCTTCTATGATCTCAACCAGAAAAAAAAACTTAGTAATCTCCACAACCCCTATACATTAATTTTCATGACTGTAAATTTACCCTCTCCTATCATTATTTCTTATTTACTGGTTCAAACAAATGTTAATTATTCAATCTATACAATACATGTATGAAATTAAATAGAATCGAAAATATTAGGTGCCGAAAACTGTTATGTATGTATATAATATTGCAGTTAGATAGGATGTTTCTAGACAATTACTGTTATAAAATTTAGCATTTGAATACTATGAGAAGAGTCAAGTTATTAAAGTATTATTATTATCTATGAACATTCAAAATATTTTGTAGCTACATGTTTCAAATTCATTACAATTTGTATTTCTTAATGAGTTGCGTTGAAAACAATTACTATTCACGAGATCATCAACTGAGTATAGCTTTTAATGTAAATATTTGGAATGATGCATAAAGGATAACTTTCTACACAATAATAACAATAATTTCGAAGATACTTTTTCTCTTGATAACAGAATTTATAACATATACTTCTCAATTTAAAAAGGGCTTGACTAAAAGATTAGATGCTTACTCTTTCAGTCAATTATGATATTTTGTATTGTGCTAAACAAAGATTAATTCCTCTAGTTTAGAGAATAAAACATTCCTAAAACCAGTTTACTGTCACATAAAATTAATTCTTGACTGTGACTTTATTAACGAGGCATTTCGTACACTTTGCTCACTTAAATCATCGTTAGATAATTATACAATTTATAATATGCTTTTATCTTTTCTAATGAATTGTTCTCCATCAATTTTCTTTAATCTTTATTTATATTTGAAAGATAAAATATACTGTTTTCATGGAAAATATCTAATTAGAACATTAGTTTACTCATGAAATTCAATATTTTAGGTCATTGAATTCAAAAATCATCAACCAACTTTTTTATGTGTTAATGATCAGTGAAAGGAATATGATTAATTAGGATAAGTTTTTATCTGTATCGAACTATCCTACTATGAAAAAAGATAAATTATTAAAGCACTATTTCGATCTATGAACATTCAAAATATTTTGCATTTACATGTTTCAAATTCATTGCCATGTACTCACTAGTGACTAGATTGATGAAGGAATTCTCGAAGTTCTAGGGAAAAGCCGTGACCAATGGAGCTAATCCGTGTCGGGTAGAGACAGGTTTCTGCCTTAGTACACTGGAACATGGTCGCGCAATTTCGTGTAGTGGCTGAGGTTTAACATTAACGCCATTGAATGCCGGCTCAGTGGTCAAGTAGGTTAAGCGTTCGCTCGCGAGACTGAAGACCGTGAGTTCGAATCCCACGAGCGGATGCGCACTACTGAGGAGTCCCACGATAGGACGAAACGGCCGTCCAGTGCTTACAAGTTTTCCACGGTCGTCTAGCTTCAAATGACTCATAATATCAAAAATGACATTTTCATTAAATTTTCAATGAATTTATTACAATAATAGTAGTTATAATACATATCCTTTCACTCAGTTTGAACTTAACTTCTTTTATCATAATCTAATCTTCTTTTCAAAATTTAGTTTGGAATTATTTACTAAAGTTTGATTAGTTCCAGTTATTATTATTGTTTCCATAATGCAATGAGTGGATGAAAGTTATCAAAATTATGTGATACATTTGTGCAATACATTTCGAACAATCTGATCACACATATCAACCTTTATTTTATATATATTCATGCTTTACAACTTGTAATTTCAATTAAAATCCCAATTATATAAGAGGTTGCAAAACACTTACACAAATAGATTTACTTGGAAATTGCTTTGAACATGTTACATTATAAATTATAATTTTTAATTCTTATTACCTTACATAGTCTGCCTGCCAAAGCAGATACACTGGCCTAACAAAAAGGAGAGCATATCTTAGATTTTTTAAACATGTTCCAAAAACCGTCAGAACAAGAGAAAGACTCTAAACAGTAGAATTACTTAACATCTCCTTGATACAGGACATCAGATCGATACTTTACAATCCTTCAAGGGGGTTAGTAAGCAGCCAATCTCCGGTCATCTGAAGTTTGCTGAAACCATTGCCATCAGGTGTCAAAAACCTGACTTATGTGTTCAAAAGATGGTTATTATTCTTCCCTTGGATTGGTGACAAATATTGCTTCGCTGCATCTTAAAAATTTTTTGTTGCATTTATTACATAATTGACCTTTGTTTCAATTATCTTCCAAATTAATAATGTCAAGGTTTACTCATTATGTAATCACTGGTTTCTAGCGGTTTGAACTGTTGTCACACTCAATGTTGTAGAATGTGTTTTCACATAAGATAGATATTTACAATATTCAGTCTATTCAATTTATTTACACCCTTGCTATACTATACTAATATATCTTCAATATAACTTCCAACCAAACCCTTTCATGTAAGTAACTTAAACCCATTATTTAATTGTGATTTTAAATATCACAGGCTGTAGGCAGCTGACGAGAACCAACAAAATGAAGTGAAATCATGTTATTCTGATAGAATCCTTGTTCCCGCTCTTTTCAAAATGATAAAAGGAACTATGTGTATGAAATCTTTGATTGTTTGATGTCGAAACTTTTCATGGATTTACACCAAAAAAAACATGACTTTCTTCGAAATTTTTAAAATATATTTATTTCGAATTACACCACGAAAAAATGTCACTGATTTGTTTTGGCATCATATAATGATTTTCTTAAAATGATTTTAATTAGTTTTATTCTTATATCCCTTAAGCTTTCAAAAATCTTGACTCAAATTTATAGGAGATTTAATCAACTAATAATTTCACTGAAGCATTTTCCATATAGATACTGTACTGATTAAACAATTTTTTTAAGAAAGTATTATTAATGACAGGCTGCTTCAGCACTGAACAACTACAATTTTCTGTTATAGTATTTAACTTTTATTGTAGATGGTAGTTCCAGATTTATACATTTTAAAATATATTGACTGTATATTACATTTTAATAAGTTGAAACGATACAATAATCTCTAAGCTACTTGTATCCAAATCCAATGAAGTAATCTTTTCGTATAAGAGTTAATATAAATTAATAATCAATATTAAATGTACAATGGTTTTTTTCAGAAACAAGCGGTGTACATCAGTGTCATTTATTACTTTTAAAATAAAAGTATATGATTTTATCGATTGATTCATACGATAAATATCATTATTTTACTGTAGATTAAATGCTATCAAAGTTATATATAGAGATTATATATTACTTATATACTTTTTTTAAATAAAAAAAAAACACTTTTGACATATCCGACATTTATCATGTACAAGAAGAAAAAAGGGAGATAAATTTAAAGTATAATTTATCATCATTATAATTTTTACTTTCACTATCAAATAAGAAAAATGCCAATAATAATTTGTTAACTTATAATTCTCTTTAGATTGAAAGTACATATGAAAGAAATCCATTTGCTGTCAAAAGGAATTTTGCATCAAATCAAAGAAATGAACCTAATCTAAGGTAATTGTAATGAATTGTAAATTTATAAATTGTTATCAATTTTCGAATTTAAACTTATATTATATCAAGTGATATCATGTTAAGGTCTTAGCTTTAGTATTCTCTAGTGCCATAGATAATTATTAATGACAAGTTCAACATGTGAGCAAAACGATCATTGTATATAGAGTTTGTCTAATTTGATAAACAGAAGGCAATACTTTTATAGGATACAAATTCCTTAACTTTGTTTTAGTTAGATTTACTACATATTTCCTATTGTTATTCTTAGTTTGTAGTTCACTTTAGATTGAGAAATGATTGATCGTTATCATTTTTTATAACTGAGATTATTTCTTTTTATATACGCAAGATATTAGACGACCACAGTTGATATTCATCTAACTTGTATATCATTGAATTTCAGGTGAAGAAATTTTTTCACTTTTATGTTGCTGTATTTTATTATTTTAGTTCGTCTTTCTGGAAAAATCCAATTTGATCTTTAATATCGTTTTATAATTTTAGTCCTCATACGTAATTGGATTTCACAGAAAGTAAAAAATAATTTATTCCTGTTTTTACTAGTCAAAACACAATGGATGATAAATGACAGAAAAATAACACCATAACTTTTCTACACTAAAACAACAATATTGTATCTTCAGGCCCGCTTTGTATCACGTAATATATTCTCAAATCAAAATACAACTTATTCGCTCTTGTACTGTAGCTAAATAAATGACGTTCAATCGGTCTGACCAGCTTAGCATCTTTATTGGTCCTTTGCTCCCTTAGCCCGTCTAGTTGAGTCCAGAACACCAATGAAAGCTTCCGCTATGCGAATCATTTATTTCAGACATACTTAGTTTACATATCAACTAAACATACGGCATCACACCATAAAATGGGAAATAACATTTATACATAATAAAGCGAGAAAGTGGCTGTGAACGTGGGAAACTATAATCAATAAACTGAACTTAAGAACAGTAAATCGTACAATAATAATCTATAGATCATTCCGTTATAATAAAAAGAATTCACTGAACAAATTTATTTCTGACATTTCACTCAGTTGCACTGCGCTTGCACTGAATACCATGGCATGAAAACATAATTAAATAAGCATTTTTACTTCATTTTCAAATGTATAATCGTTCAACAAACAAAAGTCGTAACTTTATAACTTCATTCGGTCAAATAATCCATTCGATATGGGTCTTATATCTAGAGTGTAGAAATTAACGTAACAACTCTCTAAGAATTGTTCATCTGTTTAATGAACTTTTCAATATTTTTAGATCGAATGGAGTGATATAACAAATAGAGTAGATGATCAGACATATTAATATAAATGACTTGTAAAATAGAATGATTATCCCTATGTTTAAGACATTTAATTTTTTACATATATTTTCTTCCTTTACTCATAAAAATGATAATTAAAAATTTCCACCAAGTACGTTGAATTTTCGATCAAATGTTTTAAAAATACGTATCGACATTCATTTAAGCTTTGTGATTTTACTTTAAAATGATCAGTTAACAATGCCAAATTTATCTTTCTGACCAAAAATAATCTTCTCTATCTTTTTCCTACTTATTGGTTTAATACATAAAGATTGTTGCAAGAAGGAACCAAATAGATACGCGCTGCACACATGCCCAAACCAAAGCACATAGTTTGTCTACAAAGCCGCTCCCCGAGCCTTTGACTTAGAGCAACGTTAGGAGATGCGGTTCCATTGTAGCCGGTGACCAACAATCGGTCCACATTCCATTTTTTCCTTCGAATTTCGGAAACCGTGTGCATGATTATTTGTAGTCAAGGTTTTTCGACTCCCCTAGGTGGACCCTCCGTACCTACCGACGCAGCTAAAGTGCCGGACATTCACTTTCCGTCCACTCAATTTTGTAAACAGCACTTCCGCCGCGAGAAGGCAGTAACTAGCACTGTTTTTGTATTAGCTGTTTACGCGTGACCATGTGAGAGCATTTCTGGGAGGACAGCTGACACTCCCCACCCTCGGGTATACCAGGGCATCTTAAGGCTATTTATTGATTAGTTGATTAGGAATAAATTATCATTTCCTAATCACATTATGTTTAGGTCAATGTGCTTTGATATATTCGACAAATAATGTTTAGTGAACGAGAACACACGTGGGGACATTCGAATGTATTTGAATACGAAATTGCAGAACACCTTAGTAAACCATACCGTAAATACTTCATTGACAAAATGTCAATGAATTGTCTCAAACTTGACTGTTCCTTTTGCGAATATCAATTGTCTTAGACTTCACTGTCCCTTTATTTCCACAGCAATCATTCTCTGTTCTCGTTCTCTTTTCTTTGGTCTTAACCTTCTGCCACCGGACATTTCACCTTCGATTGATGATATATATTACTTATGTATGTAGACATCAGTAGCATACACCACAAATAAACAATATTACTGATATTTATTTCTGATTTTAGAACTAGTCACAAGTTAAAATCATTTTGGAATGATGTTTCTCTGAGACAAATACTCCAATATCTCGAAATGTATAAATATATTATAGGTAATCGAAATGAAATAAAAATCGAATCTATTTTCCATACTTACGTCACTGAATATTAATAATAAAATGAAATGTTAACCAGTAGCATAGAACATTTCATATCTGGATATTGATGAGTATTATGATTAAGTAAAACTAGTAAGTGAACATTGTATCATTAACAATAGCTAAGAGGTATATATTGTTATATCTATTTTCTCATCCAAGTTTTGAAATATTCATTTAATTTACCTGAAAAGTTTAAGAGACCAATTAAAATTACACCGGATTCTATCAAATGTATTAAAAACTAATTCAAATTATAATTTTAATAAAACCATTATAAAAAAACTACTTTTAAAAGTAGTGAGTACATATGGACACTTCAGGACAATCCTTCATCTGCAAAAATATTTAATATCCGGGTTTATAAACGATAAAATGGCGATTTAGATAGGGATTTCATTTTAGAATCATTAGTATAAATTAGCAGGGTTAATATTTAGTTAACAATATTCGAAAGCTTATGTGATAATTCATTTATGGCTAGAATTACAATAAAAGTTATTTAAGTGATTGAGATTAAATCAACGATAGCTTATAGCTATACATTTCTTTTTTAAGTTTAATTATTTGTAAGTACATCACTAGCAAGTACAATATTTCATTTTTGTTGATACTTTCAGATTTTAAACAATTACAAGCCCTAGAATTGAACAGTCGGTGTAATGTTGTTGTTGTAAAAAATAAAACAACAATTATACAATAAAAACCCGAATCCACCGTAATTTCTTGACATTTTTTTTTATTTTCAAGAGGAATACATCGATTAAAGTAAAAATAACCCATTGTTGCATTTAGTTTTTGATGTAATCAATCTTGTTATTTTGCACAGTGTCTATTGAAAAATCAAATATAAAATTAGACGAACTTATTCTCTATTTTCCTTAAAAACTGGGTTTCCTCTGCTACATGTACCTTTTTAAAGACATAATTATTAAATAAGCTTAATGTTTTATAGGTTGTATCAAAACTACTTAAAATCCATTTAAGTAAGTGGAGTGATTGTGTTAAATTTGTATAGGATGATTTATCACCAAGTTATTAGTGGCTTTCAATTACAAACTTAATCAGATTAATGTCTTATTTATCAAACTAATATAATTTCAATATATAAAACTACAATCGACTTTACAAACAACACTAAATGCATACTTATATTTAAAAATATGCTTTTATTATGATATGGAGTTAATCAGGTCATATTTGATATTCAGTGATAGTGTTTCTCTATCATAAGTTGGCTATAGCTGAAAGATGTGAACAATTAGATTTCGATTCATCGTGTCAGTAGTACTGTATACACAGTGAATTCTTAAAAAATACTGTTTCGTATTAAATGTGGAATTGTGGGAGTGAAATGCGATACAGTATTTTGGTTACCATTATAAAGCCAGTCAACAAATTATGAACTGTGATGATTACCTGTCGTGTATGGACCTTCTACATTTATATTAGATTTATGAATAAAATGTCTCTCCCTCCGTAAAGCAAAAGTGATCGGTATTTCAATGAGATAGTATTATGTAGATGGTGAATTCCACACATTGCCGGTTATTTTACCATTTCAACATATGATACGATACTAAGTATAAGGTCGTTCACTCCAAAACACTGTCCATATTAAAACCATTTTATACAATCCATATAAACTGATTTGAGAGGTCAATGAAGATATAAGTTCAAATTTCACACCTTAGTCAAAGATCTAAATCCAATGAAGACATAATTTTTCATCCTTCACAAGTTAGCTAATAAAGCTACTAAGCAGTCAAACAAGAAACAGTTTTCAACCAAGTTTCGTCTCATTTTAAATACTGATGGCATAATAAGGTGGAGAATGTTAAGAGGTGGTATAGTGCTTTAAGTGCCTAATTTGTAACCAGTAATTTGAGCACTCAAATACTAATCGACCCAACTCGTTTTCGGTAGCTGTTTAGTCTTAATTCCCCATATGCAAAGAGTAGTTAATGGCCGAGTACAAAAACATGTAATCCATAATTAAAATAAGTAGAATAGAACGAGTTTATTCAAGTAATCATTCATGCTTTGCTGTAATGTTGTACTAGTAAAGCTCAGAACATCAATGAAGATATTGAAACTGATATGGTGACTAATAGCTATATATATGCTTTACCAAAGTCGAGGATTCCGTTTGTATATGATGTTTGCATATATATAATCAAATAATATCGTGAATATTATTACTGGAACTATGGTTACACTATTAAAAATGTATATGAAAGTTCACCAGATGAATTTGAATTCTTCAAAGAAACGTTCTTCAGTACAGTTAAAAAAACGATAACCGGTTTGTAGTGTAACTTCGTTCCAGTTACAATTCCAACCCACCCTAATGAGTGATCATAAAATAAATATAAAAATTTAAATGAAAACATAATTCTACCGTTTGGCTGAATCGAGGAATGTTATCTCAATGACTAGGCTAAATAGTATGACATTTTTTAAAATTTTCCATTGACTGATCAGTGAGTAGTGACAAATATCTAGTCCTGAGTACTGAACGAATGATATCGACCGAGTTTCAATCAAATATACGTAGTAACAGCTCCTACATTATCTTTAGCATTTAAACTAGTCTTTTTCGTTAGAAAAAAATAATTGACTAAGTGTAATTTGAAAAACCTGTTATCATTGTTTAAATTATTAGGTTATTCTCAAGTGATCTTACAATTCAAAATTAATGAGTGCGTAACAACTGGTGAAAAAAGACAGCCTGTGATACTGCTCGCATGCCCAAACCAAAGCAGATAGTTTTTTAGGAGGCCACTATCGGAGCCTTCGACATAAAGGTATAATCCACAAGGCAGTGGAGCAACTTTAGAAGATGCAGTCTCATGGTAGCCGGTGACAAACAACTGGTTCATACGCCTTTTGTTCACTCAAGATCCTTGAGTCTATGTGCACCACTGGTTTGGAACCACAGTTATCCAACTCCCCTAAGTGGGTTCTCCGTATACACTAACCCGGCTAAAGCGCTGAATATTCGCGGACGCTCCCCATCCTCGGCCGTGCCAGGGCATGAAGATATGAGCTGCACTAGCCAGGATCTACTCCAGGATACTGGTAATTAACTATGATGCACTTTTCTCCATATCAGAAACATTAATCTATTAGGCCAACAATTTAGAAAACTTTGTAAATAAATTGGTAACGTATTTAAAATATGGAACTTGGTTGTTCAAAAATCTGATTTCAGATGGAGTCACTTGATGATTAAGTATGTAATGGTCTGATTTAGTTTCAAAGTAAATGAAACCGTTACAGATGAAGACGTTGATCCCTAGTTAGGGTTGGAGACAAGTAATTGGTTACCAAACTACAGAATATTGCAAGTTTTTTATAACAAATTCGTAAAGCAATCAGCGGGAAAGAACTGAACCAGAGGATTTGGAAAAGTGCAGTGTTACTTAACAGATGAAATCATAGTACACTACTGAACTTATCAACATTCAATAATCAAATGTTCATCCTGTTTTGACCAAATACTGTAGAAAAGTCTGTATGCAATGTTTTAATTCAATCTAAGATTGATTGAATAAGTTTGTTAGTAAACTCGTACGTTGTTTATCAGCTTCAACTATATTATTAGTAAAATCGACTTGACATCAAACAAACATTGTCAACAAAAATACTTCTCTAAAGCACCGTAACTTCCAGATTAACTTAAGACTACCTTATTCGTATTAGTCCACTGTGAGTGCTAATAACATCGAACGCATCACAAGTACGACTTAGTTCCAGCTACTCTGATGAAACAGAGTGAAGTGCAAGGATATCTTTTTAGTTGTTGGATACCGCCTTCATAAAAATAGGTATTAGTCAAAAAGAATTTGTGTGTCAGTTAAGATACCCGTCACCAATGGAATTCTGAGGTAAAAGAATGGGGTATACACAATTTATACTGATGTATAGTAAGATATCGAAAAATTGGATGAAACATGTAGGATATGCCTAGTCAACATATGAGTTCACGTGAAATGTAAGATTTATTTTTTGTGTATAGCTGGATGCAGAAACATTATGCATTTATTACATGCGCATCTATATTTAATTTTCATCACCAGCATGTTAGTAAGACGCGTACCTAAGTAAACCAGAGAGCATTCCCATTATCTATCTGTTTATGTTATAAATTTACAAAAAAGCTTTAAACTTGTTGTGAGATAAAACACAGATGGGAATTTCGCATATCAGCACAATAGTTAAAAAATAGAATACCAACCAGAGTAGAAATACATTTATAAGGAATAAAATAAACATAGTCATCTAAAGACATTAAAATACCCTCACCTAATCATACACAAAGAATAAATCAAAGTATTTAAGACGAAGTAAAGAAAACATAACTCATTGTTAACTTAGGTCTGAACAGTACAAAATAATTAGCACAATGAAATTATCTCACGTTCAAGAGATTTTTTTACTGAGTTCATAATCATTTAAAGAAATACTGCTAATATTAAAAAATTATTGATGAATCTAAAAGTGAAAGACTGAAGTGATCTTCACGCTGACAAAAATAAGCAAGAAATACAATCACAGAGAAGTCCAAATAAACTATAAGCGTATATCACATATATTGTATGCGTATGGAGAGACTGCATATATGTATGCATATGAAATTCACTAATTTCTTCACTGAAATCTATAAAACAGACAAGTATGAAAAAATTGAAATCACCTTGAGGCAGTACAGTTTAAAAGTAAATGCCATATGAATGAAAATGTACATCAACTGATGACCTAAAAGAGAGAAAACAACAAATGATAATACTGCTTAACAGAGTGAAATTTTTATGTGACTGAAAATAAGTAGATAGCTCAGTTGATTATATTTAATATCAGCTGCCAATTGAATTCAAAACCAACATCTTATATCATTCGATCGCAATTAGTTGGATCAATTTTCAGTTCATTGCGATTTAGATATGAGTCCATAAATTCAGTAGGGTTGTCTTTAAGTTGGATGCAAGTAAAAACTCGACATACAAGGCCTTAAAAACTAGTTTCATTAATAAGTTGGATTTCCGAGAGCATTACGCAGAGAAAATCTGTTTATCATATAAAGTATATCGGGTAGGAATTCATCCCATTATTATTACTGTTGTCAGTCAGTCAGCTACAACGTAGGACCAGGCACATATGTGCATCGGTCCAGGTTGCCATACCGCATCAACACAACAAGATGAACACCGGATTCATAGCAGTGGTTAGGTTAAAGGTGGTAATATATAAGAGAAAGATTGCATATAGAGATATAGTACAAGAAGAAAAAATTGGTTCGTAGAAAGAAAGGTATGAAGCGATTTTAATCTCTTAGTTTAAGGGAAGACAGAGAGTGTATACACCGACGCCATTGTGATCGATTCTGAGCCATGTCACCAAGAGTCTCTAACCATTGGTTACGATAGTCACGCGGACCCCAACCACGTAGTCTGCATCTACCAACATGGCTCAGACTAGAAGTTAGTGACTTCAAGCACTGATGCCACGTTTCGGTTTGGCCGTCCCTAACTTTCTTCCAACCACCCCGAACACCGAATAGCATTGCACGTCGTGGTAATCCGTATTCAGGCATACGTAACACGTGACCCAACCATCTCAGTCGATGAAGATTCATAACCTCATTAACTGATTTACCATCATTTCCTAATACCCTGCGTCTAACCTCACTATTACTTACCCGGTGATCGCAGCAGACGACAGCAATATTTTTAAGGCATCTAACCAAATACTAGTAGCTTACGAGTGTCTTCTACTCTTAATGGCCATGTTTCGTTGCCGTAAGTTAAAACAGAACAGACTGGCGCAGTATACTCGTCCTTTTATTGATAGACGGATATCTCGCCTTCGCCACACGTGACGTAAGTTGGCAAAAGCCAAACGAGCTTTTCGAATCCGTGCTGAGATTTCGTCAGACACCAACCCATTAGGGCTGATCAGACTTCCAAGATAAGTGAAGTTGTCAACGCGTTCGACTACTTCACTCCCTATCCTTAGTTCAGGTGTTGACGCAGACCAGTCCTAAAGCAACAACTTGCATTTAGAGGGAGAGAAGCGCATCCCAAACATTCTGGCATTGTTGCTCAGTGCTACCAAAAGACTGCATATTATCGGCGTCTTCACCAAACAGGACTATGTCATCTGCGTATTCTAAGTCGATAAGTGGACCTCCTGGACGGAGATCAATACCCGAGAATTCAGTCGACGAGAAATTTATTTCCATCAGTAGATCTATGATGAAGTTAAACAAAAATGGAGAAAGTGGACAGCCTTGATGGACACCACTTGAGGTTGCAAAAGTAGATGACAGTTCGCCATAAGCTCTGACTCGACTAGTAGTGTTCGAGTAAAGAGCCTTTACAAGGTTTATGTACTTCTGGGGTACGCCTTTCAATGACAGACACTGCCACAGAATCTCGCGGTCTACAGAGTCGAACGCTGCTTTTAAGTCGAGAAAGACCACCATTGTCGGACGCCGATAAGTATGCCTGTGTTCTAGAACCTGACGAATGGTGAATATGTGGTCGATACAGCCACGACCAGGTCTGAAGCCAGCTTGGTTCTCTCGTTTTTTGCAGTGCACGAGTCTTAGTTAGGCGTCTGATAATTATCGAGGCTAGTATTTTAGATATTATATTATTTAAACTAATCCCTCTGTGGTTGTCACAGGATGATTTTGACCCTTTCTTATATATTGGGACGATAAGTGATTGTGACCAGTTAGATGGGATAACGTCTAACTCCCAGATCTTAGCTAAAATATTAGTCAACCTAATCGCTAAAATTGGACCACCATCCTTAAAGACCTCTGGAGCCAGTCCATCTGGACCAGCTGCCCTTCCTCGTTTCAGATTAACTATAGCCATTTGAACTTCAGCAAGAGTTGGGGGACCTACTTCAATGTTCCATTCACGCTGTCTGGGAATGGAGGGTAGTTGTAGAGTAGCTGAAGGCCAGCTGAACTGTCCTCTGAAATGTTCCGCCCATCGTTCTAAACGTCTGGACTGGGAGCAGATAAGAGTATCGACTTTTTCCGATATAATCTCACTTACACTAGACTTATTAATTCCAGTTTCTTTTATTAGTCTGTAAAGCTGTCTTGTGTTCCCTATAGCCGCCGCCTTTTCCATCTCTTTTGCTTTCATTGCTCACCACTGCTCACGGTCGTTTCTTATACTTTTTCTTAACCTAGATCTGATTTGTTGTCGCTCTTCATCATGTTCGGAACCTGATGGGACGAGTTTGCGAGAATCCATCAGTGTGATAGAAATCCACTTGCTCTTTGTAACTATGTGGTTTAAGTCGCTAATAGATGTCACTGCTGTTTCCACAGCTGCTTGTATGTCTTTCCAAGCAACATTTGGGTCAGCATCGTCTTCAGAACTACCTAATTGTGAACTCAGTTGTTCTTGGAACCTACTTTTGGTTTTCTCGTTACTCAACTCAGTTCTAATGGGTCTTTTTAATGTGGCTTTTTTGCGTCCAGTGAGGCGCAAGCAGATGCGTGCCTGTATTAGGGCGTGATCGGAGTCCAAGCAGGTACTCTAGAGTGAGCGACAATCTTCTACCGACCATCTCCAACGATGACTGATGGCAATATAGTCTATTTGAGTCCATCGTTCGTTTGGTGTAGGGGGTCGCCATGTTAGACGATGTTTCTCTTTATGCTTAAAATTAGTGTTTGCCAAAAATAAACGATTGTCTGAGCACAGTTGCAGCAGACGATCACCATTATCTGTTCGCTGTGCCAGAATGCTAAAATATCCACCTAAATGCCTTTCTGTTTGGTTTAAGCTACCTATCTGAGCATTAAGGTCACCCCCTACGAGTACTATGTCTGAGCGTTTAGCTTTCTGAAGAAGTTCAGAAAGCTTTCTGTACAATTCATCTTTCACATCATCTGAGCTGCAGTCAGTGGGAGCGTAGGCAGAAACGACGAAAAGGCAACGACGTGTGTCCCTATCCTTCCGAGTTCTTACGGAGCCGTTCAGCCGAACAGCACATAGACGACTGTTGACGGGGATCCACTCTAACAGTGCTTGTTCCGCCCTCATGCTTAGTGCTATACCTACACCTGCCAGTCCACGAGAACTGGCCATCGGGTCAGCAGATACACGTAGGGTGTATCTCGTTGGCTCTCCATTTTGCTGAGGTGAGGTCAAGTGAATGACTACACTGGAATCCTGTATGCGTGTTTCGGAGACACAGCATACATCAATGGAAAGAGACTCTAGGGTTCTAGCCAAGGAAGCCTGCTGACCGATTTGACATAGAGTTCGTACGTTGAAGGCTCCAATGTGTAGTTTGGAGCGAGGTTTCAGTAGACCTGGGACAGAGTTTTGAGCACTAGAATCGTTGGCTATGGTGACACTTGAGGAGGAAGACGAGAGAGGAAATTTAGAGTTGAAAGTCGATGTAGGAGGAATAATAGGAATTGAAGAGGAAGGTTGATTATGAATACAGTGGTCTTGGGTGCTGTTAGAGGTATGAGGGCGGTCATCACTTCCCAGTTGCCCACACCGAGGAAGGGTTCTTCTGGAGGTACCTGAAAAGGAAATTGGATTAGAGGCGGTCTCAGTGACCTGAGAGCGTGACCGCAGTGCCCAAGGGACAACTGCTTGAGGCCGGTCGCGCACGGCCTTTTTGTGGGAGGTTTTTGACGTTCTAGCTCCGTTCTTCAAAGGGCTTTACCGCCGGAGACGAAAATCCGTGAGGTAAGGTGAGGTGTGCATTTTTAGGGTCGACCTTTTCTAACCCCACCTCTCCTTGTGGGAAGGCAGCATCGCTGTCATGCTGGTTGTCTGAAGGAAACACCTTACTGCCCTCACACCTCTGTACAGTCAGAAGTACGACTTCGCCTTCGGATCTTGGGTTTGTTGCTTTTAGTCCTACCGCTCTTCAACCGACCTGTGTGAAATGGTAGGACCTTGAGGAACGGTTGTTCCAACCAGTATAGCTCTGTTGCTTCATCACGATAGGCAAGCCCGACCACCACGTCAAGGTAGCAACAACGGTCGGGTTGTGAAATGTAATCTATGAAAATTGCTAGTATTTGACCATAAAATGTCCCCGAAACACTAATTACGCATGGTGCAAACGTTGTGTAAGTAATGCTGAAACAAAGCGTAAGGAACTAACTTAGGTGAAGTGAATTTTCAACACTTAAGGACGTTCAGCACATAAGCTACGCATGCGTGGTTGCCGCTTAATGTGACGTGATGTATGCTGAATAGCAAAGATGGAAAATGATAAGGTGAGGCTTGAATTAGACATGGCTCAAAATCAGTTGCGATTGTATGAATGCATTCATTTTCATCTTCTAAATCTTCAGTTCCAATAATATTTCATACTTTCTTGTTCCATCTCATCTACTAAATTTGCTTGCATTATGTTAATATAAATTACGTACGTCAACTTGACGCAGCGTATATCTGCGACATCTTTCACACTGCTTATGACTGACTAGATTCATATCGTTAATGCCTACGCTTATTTATTGTACAAGTCTAACTCATTTATAACATAATTAAGGTTCTATGTTGATACGTTTGCATTATCTGATACGATGACTTGAATTTTATAAAGAAACCAGATATCTTGAAATTAGATACAACAAGAACTCACAAAACTAATAAAAGACTAGGTCTTCAAAGCGTCTTCCTAAAGACCTGAACTTTTATCATTGAGTGGTAAAGTCATACATATTGTTAGTTAAGACCATTTAGTCCCTGGAGAGTAACCATTAACATTCTAGTTTTCAGTGTAAGCAGTGACTAGACATTATATGGTAAATTGTAATTAATCCCTTTCGACTAACAGTAATCAACAGAAATCTTTAGATGTAGATTTCGCGCTAGTTAGCATTCATCAAAAAAGAAATACATAAAACGTAGGCGTAAATCATACTTTGTTAAAATCACATGAATCCAGTAAGCCATTTCAACACTACGTAACGAACATTACAATATCAACTTTTTTGTCTACTACACGCATTTATTTATTTATTTATTTTAACACAGATATTGGTACAATGAGGCACCAAATATATATGCGCCACATAAATCATTCGGTTTGTGTGAGGGCTGTGATACTGCCCGGGTGCCCAAACCGAAGCAGGTGGTTTTCTTAGGGGGCCACAACCAGAGCCTTTGACCTGAAGGTCTGATCCACAAGGCAGTGGAGCAACGTAAGGAGATGCATTCCCATGGTAGCCGGCAACCAACGATTGGTTCATACGTCATTTGTTCCTTCAGGATACTGTAGCCCATGTGCACCGTTGGTTTGGAATCAGGGTTTTCCAACTCCCCTAGGTGGACTCTCCATGTCCACCAACCCGGTTAAAGCGCCAGACGTTCGCTTTTCGTCCTCTCAATTTCGTAAACAAAACCCCCGCCACGAGAAGGCAGTGAGTAAGACTTCCCTGGCAGAGGCTATATACACGTGGCCATGTGAGAGCATTTCGAGAGGGAGAGCGGACTCCCCCCACTATCGGCCGTACCAGGGCATTTGGGGGCATTACAAACTTACCAGGCAGAATTCTGTCTAATGTGAATTATTTAACGTTGTACTGGTTGCTACCCAGAGACTACTTAGTGTACACGAAATGAGTGGATATTTGGATCGGATCCTCAGAAGATACAGTTAACACCGAAAAAAATAACATGGAAAACGTATGGCAAAACAATCTATTCACTTACTATATATTTTGAGCTGAGCCACTGACAAGCATATTACGACTAAGTAGATCATTTTCAAGTTTTGTTATTTCTGTTCGGAGGGATTCGAAGGATGGATTAAATTTACGAGGTGACCTATAAAAAGAGCTTCAATAGATTTTGGGATCTCCTTAAACTAAATAAATAATATATTTAAAATTTGGTCCCTTAACATTTAAATATATGTAGGGAGTGATATCCAAAATGTTCTTTTTTAACACAAAGCCTCCCAGTGTTGACTTGTAACATGTCTAGTATTCTTTAGGTAATTCACTTTACTTGACTCGATAAACATAAAAATAAGCTGGGAATAAAATATACTCCAAGGAGCCGAAAAAACAATCTACAGTAATAGAAGCACAAGAGTTTATACATAATTTAGACGATAAATCTTTAGTATCTTCTTGATCCATCTATTATCTCTGATTAGTTAAAAATGAATCGATCGCCACATTCAGATTTGGGCTGACGTTGAGAATGCAATAGTTAGAATTCTATCCTATTAACAACTGGTAGGACAATCAACTGAATTTGCTCTGAGTGACACCTTCCTTGGTACGAGATTTCACCAATATTTTTCTATGCATCGCTAACCGATTCATTTATTTGAATAGTTGCACAAGGCACAACTGTCAATGCACTTTTAATGTGACTTTGAGGGTGTAAAGACCCGCGACAAGTGAATGCAGTTCGAATAGTTCGACACCTTTTGAAGTTTCAGTTAACATTATCATCAGATATAGCTCTGAAAAAATCTCAACATTTTCTCAAAAAAAACGACGTATTAGTAAATGTATATGTGATTAAAATCGAAGCAAGATTTCCTTAATGAGTTACTTTTCGATGATGAAAACAACAATAGGTTAGGTTTCACCATAGGAATGCTGTTGGACTGCATTAAACAGAATGGTATTTTTTAACGTAAATTGGTTATTACTTTCTGTGAGGACTGCATTTTTACAACAAACCGCACAAAAGTTTTTTTGTAATTCTGGCATTTATTTAGTTTACCATAACTATGGTTGTTCGTTACAATGATTACAAGTGAGGAATTATGTTCTAAGTGAAGGCTATTTACGTATCACAATAGTCCGCCTTTTAACACATTTTTTAATGGTTAGGTTGTCTACATGCGAAATAAAGGAAAGATAAACGTTCACCCTAGTATTTCTGAACAAGCAAATTTTATAGCAAACCTCCTATAATCAATTTCGATTATGGTTAATTTTAGTTAAGCTCTTTTATTAACTTACTTGACAGACAATGCCATTAGAACAGTAACAATTCGCACATTTCTTTGTATTACTATAATCACCATCATATCTGTATAAACGTGTACGCTTGATCACGTGATAAACTCTAACAGTAATGTTGATAGCTTAAATATTGCTCGATGATTCATTCTCTTTCCCATGTATATATGTACGCAAATCCTATTATTAGTCTTTGCCTTGCCTAGCTGAGCCTTATTCTGTTTAACTATAAATTTGCCTCTACATTTGCTCGCACACACATATTCGTCTCTATGCTTCAAATTCGCTTGATGTGCTTGTAGATTTGTGATATGTGATGTCCGCTAATAAGCCGTAGTCACCGCTTCTTATTGCCTTCTGACTTCAAACGCCGATGGAATTTATATAATAACGGTTACAAATGGGATTGATTAACGAAGAAAGCCACTTACAAGTTATTTAGTTGAACAGGGTATATGAGACTAATGAATGAGATCAAATTGGAAAGCATACTTTATTGATACCATCCAGGGATACTAAAGTGGCTGAAATGAACGTGTGAACCCAGTGAATGTTGCAATCCAAAATAAAATATTAAATACAAACGCATAGCTTATGTGAAATTTATCTTACTTTGTATGAAAATTTATCTGAGAATTACCATCAACCAGATTTTCTAAATAAATTCCAAGAGCAGCTAATGAACCAACGGAAAATTGGTTGACTATTTTAGATTCGTCATATAACTCCAAACGAGTGAATAAACGAAATTTCTGTAATTGACCATGAATCATATTTTTCAAATGATTGAATTCCCTCTGCAGTATAGCTTTTTCACTCAGCGCATTGTGAAGTGATTCTGCCAGTGTTGACAGGTGATCGCTTGTTATCTATAAGTTAAAAAATTCCATAGTTATTCTATTGAATTACTAAACAATTACGATGCTTTAGAAACTACGATTAAATACTACTAGGTGAGATTTTAAATATTATAACGTGAAAAATGCTGCTGATTAGAGGGATAGCGAATTATTGATCGGACCAAAGACGCGCAAACACGCAGAACGACTTAGGGTTCTGATTGGTCCCGCTTCCCTGTCTAGCCCAGCGAGTTAAGTCCAGAACGCAAGTCCCAGCCTCGGATATATGAATCATTATATTTCAAACACACTCTGTTTATATACTAATCAAGCAGACCACATCGTACCATAAAATAGAAAATAACATTGTACAATATTGACCAGTAGGAAAATGACACGTGAAATAAGCACTGACCAATAAGAGAATAATACCATCTCCAAGTCCAAGAATAGCATTAGACTTAGAATAATTTTTGGGATATTTTCCTGAATACCCCAACAAAATAATAGACATAGACACGAGATTACATAGAACAAAGGAGACAGGATACTTTAGTAGCCCTTAATCTGACTCCGATTGGATCGTACGAATGTTTGTTATCGAAATCTCCATGTCACCAATCCTCACATGTAATTATCCACTTAACTCGCGTTAATGAATAACGGAACTAAACAAGTCAATTACGAGAATGGATTTTTGAATACGTACATTTCATGCGATCTCTGATCGGAAAGCGGAGCAAACCAAAACGACGTGCAATGGAGAAGGCGAGTGAACCAATTCAATTTAGTAAAGGGTGGATTGATATTATTATTCGAACAAAAATAAGTTAAAGACATGTGATGAGTAAGATAAGAACTGCACATACATATGCTTACATAAAAACAGGATTAATGAGAGAATAATTGACAGAGTCAAAATGTGGCTCAAGAAGAATGGATAAATTGGCTTATCCAGAAGCTAGAATAGGTCATGTGGGCTTGGCACAGTAATCGACACTACAACACTATGACCGCGGGGATGTGTAGTACTTAATCATCACTATCTTTATCCAAACATCAACAATCATTACAATACATACACGAAAATTTGTATTGCTGATTACAAAGGACAGAATAAACGCTGCAAGATCACTTATAATGTAGTTGTATGTTGACGTTTATTAACAAAAATAGACGAAAATCACAAAAAATCAGTTTATGAACGCACTGTGTCCAAAATAAAAATGAAAAAAATGAGATGGGATCTGCTTATATCGATGCAAAATAACTTATTATGCGGCATAATAAAAACAAGAATTAAGGTTTTCAAATAAAATAGGATATACCTTAACAATTGATTTCATTGAATTGATTTCCGTTTCATAGAGAGAACGATTTTCATCTTCGTGTGCCCGCAATAATGCGACTTCTTCTTTTGAAGAGACAACTTCCTGACGAAGTTCACTAACTAACTTTTGCACGTTAATAAGTTCGGCTTTGGCATTATTAAGTTCCACAATAGTAAGTTGATGAGCCTCGAGTGCTTGTTGATGGGCAACTTTTTCACGTTCAGCGTTAAGCGTCTGCATTTCTGCCTCTTTCTGATAAGTTGTTAAGTTAGCAACAGCATTGGCTAAATCCTTTTGCAAGACCGAAACATGCTCGGAAAGATTGTCCCGCTCACTTTTCACACAGTTCAGTTCATCAAAAGTAGACATAAGAAGAGCTTCAGATGTATTATATATGTGTTCTGAAGAACAAGTATTGAGATTAGACTGACGGGTATTGCATATTCTTAAGTCAAATGAATCATTTGGTGTTTCAGTAGTGACAGAACATGAGTAGTATTCATGATCACTTTTTTTAGAAATGACTGTTGACTGATTTGATCCACCAACTTGATATAATTTCAGTTTTTCTGCTTTACTTTCAGTAATTTCAGTTAGATTCGAATTTTCATGTGATGAACAGCAATATAGTATTGACTCTGGTGTTTCAGTGACAGATAGTAAGGTAGTGGCTACATTCTGTGTGTAAAAAACTTCATTTGTCCGGTTCCCTTGATGATCGTTTGAGAAATATTCCGTCAACTTAACTGGTGTTTCACTTTCATTTATTTTAACACGGAAATTACTAGAGCAACTAGATGACTCCTTATCTGTCCAATCATTTATATGAATATTTTGTACCTCAGTAACAGTACATTTATAGTTGGTATCCTGCTCAGTAGATAAGATCGTACAAGCATCATTTTTGTTAGAAAAGCAGACATTTTGTTGTTGTTCTGGTATAACTAATGGATCTGTATAAATTTTATCACAGTTCAGATTATTGGTTTTGTGGTCCAAAGGTAAACTGGCTCTAGGAATTAAAATGTTATTTCTACTAATTGTAATATCACAATTAAAATCCGAGGAACATTCGTCTTTAGAAAAACACGTGTACGAATTATCTTGTTGTACATTGAATTTATACTCATCAGTATGGTTCAGACTATCGTGTAAATATAGATTTAAATAAGGCATATTACGTTGCTGATAATCTGAAGAATATATTTGATTGGTTGTTATATGGGTGTCTGAAAGGTGAAGGCCAGAATCCACATTAGCAATATTCTGGTAATCTGGTAACTGCTGTATATATGGCCAGTTATCAAAATAACACTGACTATTTGGATTAGGAACTGTTTGATTTAATCCCATTTGGTTTTGCTCGTATGAAGAAGACAAAACACTGGCAGAAACTAAAGACGAAGGATCCGTTGACCAAAATATATTTTTATCAGAACTTAAAGGTGTTGTGGGATAGTTCTCCTGTGAGTTCGAGCCGTTATTTTGAGTATCGTAATTAGAATCAGGTACACCGATTGTGTTTTGCGAAATTGGAGCTACATCACAAACAGCGTCACAAGACAATCTTTTGTTTAAATCCATAATTTGCCAACAACTATCTTCATTCACTTGAATGTTTAAAGAATGTGTAGCATCCGAGGTACTAAAATTATTTACTGAAGACGGTAGAGAAGCAGTATTTGGTTGACTTTGAAAGGTCGCCATTGCAACTGGGAAGTAATGAATGGTCTGCGACTCTAGTGTAAGTTGTTTGTCAATTATCTGACTCGGCAAAAGAGAACTCGTTCCTACATGTTTTACTTTAGCAACAGTTTTAAAGTCACCATCAGCCTTTTGGAGTGAAAAATCTAATTTGTTTAGATTGTTGTGGGAATTTTCGGTTTCCGTCAGCGAAGCATTTAAGGAAGAGTTTAATTTCTTTTTTTCTTGTCTTAACTTTTCAATCACATTCCAGTAATCCCTTAACTGGTCGGAAAGAAATTTAATTTTGTCAGCCATACTGTCTCGTTGAGTGGTGAGCTCCATAATTTGTACAGACTTGGATTCAATTTCACGTCTAAGGATGACAAAACTTTTTTCTACTCTGAACAAGTTATCCTTCAAATTTATCAAGTATTTATTCAATGTCTCTTTTTCATATTGTGATGCTGAGAGAGCTGCAGTGAGTGTGGCTTTTTCTTCTAGAATCTCATCAATTAAGATGCCCTTACTTTTATCTCCGTTTTCATAAACCTTCACACTTTCTAAGATGATACCATATTTGGAGAATTGATCATCTAGATAGTTTTCCTTCGTAAAATGTTCTCTCTCGAAGGATTCTAACTGGTTTTGTAATTCACTGCGCTTTCTTTCTGCGACTGCCAAGGCTCCTTCAGCATCCAACAGCTTATTCTTTTGAAGCAAGATATGCTCTTCAGTAGCCTTAAGTTCCATTTGAAAATTCGACACCTGAGTCTGTAACTCCCTTATCTCATCAGCGCGCTGACGACTGATATTTTCAAACAAAGCTCGTTCAGCAGTAATACGCTCAAAAAGGGCTTCACGTTCTACCATGTCAACACGGATAGACTCTAACTGCCGAGAGAGATTTCGTTTAGCATCAGCTAAGGCGGCCTTGCTGCATACTAACTGAGCTCGCAAACAAGCATTTTCATGTGCCAGACGATGGTTCATTTCACTGCTATCCTTTAGTAAGTTGACAATTCTTTCAGGTTCATTTTGAACACGATCACTGACACACTGAACGGAACGAAGCTGATTAGCGTACCAATCACGTGAACACTTCAAAATGTCGATCTCCTTCTGTAAATCTTCTTGGTGACAGATGGCTTGTTGATGAGAATGTCGAAGGGATTCCACTTCAACATATAGCTCAGAAACTTTTTCTTTTAACTTATTAATAGTATCTGTCTTAGCAGAACCCTCTTTTGTTAGTTCGCGTAAATGACCACCAAATTGTTTTTCTTCATTCTTTGCATGCATAAGTCCATGCGCAATCTTTTCTGCCTCTTCATTGCGCGCCATAAGTTCCTGCCGAAGGTAATTCAGTTCCTTTTCATAATGATTACAAGATAAATGAACGCCTGCTTCAGTTTCACTTCTTTTTCCCTTATAACAGACGTGTTGAAGCGATAATTCAGAAAGTGATCTTACACGTCCCTTCTTGGACTTGTTGGCAAAAGAGCTTGATACAAGCATAGTTTGTTGTTTGGTAGTGTTGTAAATACGTTCATCTGAATAATAGGAATGGGTCAAAGAACTGAAGAGAGGAACACCTAGAAATGATAATTCAAAAGGTTTGAGAAGATTATGATCATCGAAAGAACATAAGTCAACATAATTCGCAGAACCGAATATGGGTCGATAACCTATGAATTTTAACGGTTCACTGGGGAAACATGAGTTTTGAAATAAGTTTTTGTTTTCACGACTCTGAAGATTTGTATTAACATTTGAATTTAAAAGTTTTCGGCTTCTGTCCCGACCCTGAACGAATGATCCGAGAGCATCAGTACTATTTAGCGACTGCGATTCTTTTTCTTCTTTGGTACCTGGATAGCTACAAAAACCATATTTTGAAGAACTTGTCTTAATGTGTACTTCGGAATCTAAAATTGGATAAATTCAATTCGAATTAAAAACTACCTGAAATGAAGTCTTCGTTAAAGTTTATGACTGTATCGAAGGGTTTGAATTTTCTACTTTCCATCATCTAAGTATTAGTCTTACTTAGTTTGTCACACTATGATACGACTACTGAATATTTAAAGATAAGTAAATCTAATCAGTAGTTTACGCTGGTTAGTGGTTATGTATACATCTAAATTACCTTTCAAGGTTGATCGCATAAAAGCTGGTCATGAAAAATGATAACCCCTTAGGATGATCAATGAAGATTGATTAACATTTCAAGTTACCTCTGATGACTTTTTTGTAAGCGTTCCTTTAGAAACAGATAGTCACATCAAAACTCAACACAGCTCGGGTAGTGATACGACGACTTAGCATTCAACCCAAAATAATTGACTTACACTTAATTTACAGAGTAGCTGATTTGTACAAAATGATTAGTTACTTGAGACTTCATTCTCAATAATTTTATATGCTGTAAAAAATGTAAACCAAAAGGACTCGTTATCCGACCTTATTAAGTACAATGATGTTAAAGAATAATGAAAATATTAAGGGATGTGAATGAAAAAGTGTACATTAATTAGGACGTCCATATAATTCTTAAGACTCGCAAATTTACAGTAACATATGAAATGGCAAAGTTCAACGTATTTATGAGGGTCTTTTTAAATACCTTATGACTCTACAGATATTATTACGATAGCCACTAAAATGTTCAAAGTATTCAGGGACAAACTGGTCGACTTTAGTTCATAAAACGGTACGGAAAGGCTACAAAACTAGATAAATAGGAAGCCATCAAATTATACATGTTCTACTGTAAGTTGTATGTTGTTTCCTAAAAACAGTCACAACAGAACGTATTTATTCCCGGGTTTTCAGAATCTTGAGAATTCATTCTACTCATTTGTTTACCAAATATATTAACGAATGAAGTAACGATGAACAGTGTCTACAACAAATTCTTTTAAACTCTATTAAGCCCGCTACAAAACAATAGATGTATAGACGTAGTCGTTAGCACTGATTATTTTGCTATATGAGGAAGGTAAGCCACACAAAAAGCTACTCAAACAGAATCAAGACCTGGCTTTTATTATTTTTAGTTTTTCCTTGATGTTTTTGATTATCGTCAAATAATAAAGGGAACAAGATTGTTGAGATTGACATCAGCCGATATTAAAAGGTAGAGAGAATAAAATTAATAATGTATAAGTCTGAACACTGAACAAATAACTACACAGGCATCACAAAAGTTGACAACAGTATATAACACAGAAATTCCAAGTAGATTGGATGGGGTCGAAAAAATTTGTCCCGGAATGCCCTGGTACGGCCGAGGGTGGGCAGAATCCGCTCTCTCTCTCTCTCTTGAAATTCTAACATGGCCACGCGTATACAGCCACTATCAAGAAAGTGTTAGTCACTACATTGTGGAGGGAGCGTTGTTTACGAAAGCGAAAGGGTGAAAAGCGATTGTCCAGCGCTTTGACTGGGGTTGCTGAATATGGAGGACCCACATAGGAGACTTCGAGAACCCTGACCCCAAACCAATGGTGCATATGGAGAACAGGATCATGAGAGAAATTGGTACCAGTCAGTCAGTCAGCTACAACGTAGGACCAGGCACATATATACATCGGTTCAAGTTGCCACACCTCATTAGCACAACAAATCGATCACAAAATTTATAGAAGTTACATCAGTGGTAGTAATATATAAAAGAAATGTTGCATATAAGGATACAATACAGGGAGAAATAATTAGTTCGTAGAAAGAAGGGTATAAAGTAATTTTAGTCTCATGGTTTAAGGAAAGACAGAGTATAAACACCTACACCATTGTGATTGATTTTGAACCATGTCGCTCAGTCTCTAACCGCTGTTTACGTTAGTCACGAGGACCCCAATCAAGTAATCTGCATCTAACAACATGGTTCAAACCACAAGTTAGTGACTTTGTGGACTGATGCCACGTTTTGATCTGGACGCCCCTAACTTCCATCTATCTTCAACAATTGCGAGCGTTGCGTGTCGTGGCAGTCGGTGATTGGGCATAAGTTAAACGTGGCCCAACCATCTCAGTTGATGTGGATTCACAACTTTACCAACTGATTAATCATCATCCCCTAATACCTTGAGTTTAACCTCACTATTACTTACCCAGTGATTCCAGCAGATGCAAACAATGTTTCTAAGGCATCTGTGATCACATACTAGTAGCTTACGAGTATCTACTCATAGCGGCTACGTTTCGCAGCCGTAAAGTAGGATAGAACGAACAACCGCGCAGTATACTCGCCCCTTAACTGATATGACGGTTTTTTGTCTTCGCCATAGATGACGTAAGTTGTCAAAAGCAAAATGAGCTTTTTGAATCCGTGCAGAGATTTTACCAGACACCAACCGATTAGGGCTGATCAAATTTCTAAGATAAGTGGTCGACGCGTTCGACTACCTCAAAACTATCTTCATCTGGTTTTGCTGGCGTTGGTGTCGCACTAAGCGCTAGAGCTGAGGCAGCACTAATCTATTGGATCTCCATTAACAGTCGGTTATGTGCTGTTAGATTAGAGAGTTCCATCAAAGTGAGGAGAAATCGGCGTGAGAAACGATGTCTTTTCGTCATCTCCGCCTATGCTCCGAGATTGCAGCCCGGATGCAATCAAGGGGGAGTTTTACCACCAGTTATCTGTTCTTCTCCAGAAAGTGCGTTCGACAGATATTGTAGTACTAGCCGGAGACTTGGATGCTCAGGTCGGAAGTCTTAGACACAGAAGAGTCGTTTAGGTGCCCGATGAGGACTTGTTGGTCGCAAGACAGATAATGGGGGCCGTCTACTGCAACTGTGCACAGACCACAACCAACTTCCTGGCTAACACTAACTTTTGGCACAGTCATCGCCGATGTACCACCTGGCGTCCTCCCTCTGCATCTCAAGCCTGGACTCAGATCGATCACATAGCGAGACCCGTCGGTCTACTACGGATGACCGTGAGTTTGACCACAAACGAAGGACGTTACGTAAGGAAATTGGGCAAAGCTTGCGTAAGGATCGAGAATAGTGATGATCGGAGCGTGCTAATGAGCTGGAAGCAGCAGCTGCATCTGGTAACTACTGGAAGCTCTTCCAACTCATCCGAGCCACTGGCAGCAAGAAGTCTGGTGTGAGCGAAACAATCTGTGAGGATGATGGGATGCCAATCACTAACATCCATCGACGTCTTGGACGATGGGCAGAATTTTTCGAAGGGCAGTTCAACTAGCCTGCTGCTCCGGCAACATCGGTCAGACTGTCCTGCCCTCCATGGCCGGTGACGACCGATCCACCAAATGCGGCGGAAGTCCGCAAGAGACGCTTTAAATCACTGGACCCAGATGGCCTACCTCCGGCTCTTTTTAAAGATGGTCGTGACTTTCAGATTAAGAAACTGACAACGTTGTTTGCAAAGGTTTGGGAGCTAGAGAACGTTTCAACATTATGGAATGAGTCGATAGTTTTCCCTATCTTTAAAAAAGGGTTCACGTCGTTCCTGTAACAACTATCGGGGGATAAATCTACTTCCGATTGCGTCCAAGCTGTTGGCTCCCGTAACACTTCGTAGGTTGTTCAAAACCCGAGAAAGATTGACTCAGAGTCTTCACCAGACAGGACTATGTCATCTGCGTATTTTAAGTCGATAAGCGGACCTCCTGGAAGTAGATCAATGCCCGAAAGTTCTGTCGACGAGAGTTATTTCCAGCAGTAGGTCTATGATGAAGTTAAACAAAAATGGAGATAGTGGACAGCCTTGTCGGACACCACTTGAGGTTGCAAAATCAGATGACAGTTCGCCATAAGCTCTGATTCGACTAATAGTATTCGAGTAAAGAGCACTCAAAAGGTTAATGTACTTCTGAGGCACACTTTCAACCAAAAAAATAAACCCAGAATACCGTGGTGACGTTGAAATCAATAAGCTAGTAGTTACAGTTACAGTTATGTGCTGGTTAATCAGCAAGTAGGAACAGTAGGTAAAATATTGTTTTCAGCAATACTTTCAGAGACATTGAAAGTCCCAGGATGAAAAGTGGTGCGAATTTCCAGATAATACAAAATAAAAGAAAACTGAATGTTGTATACTAACTTGCTTTATCTGTGTATCATTAAACACCAGATGACAATAGTAACCAGATTGAGATGGTTGCTACGATTTATTAAAACCTTTTAAGACTGGCTTTCGATGTTAACCCCTTAAATTTACAAGGAAGTTGATATCCATATAGGGAAACTACAAAGAATCAAACGTAACTAATATAACCCTTAAATTTGACATTTGAAACATGTAATAAAAGGTGCATGAAACGAAAATCACATGCGACAAATATCAGGGTACCCTTACCACGTAGATAGTGGGTTTTAAGTACAAAAGTTGAAATCGTCGACTTTTAACTTACAGGTTTTAGGTGAGAACACAGTTTCGCTTATTTCAGCTTGCGGTATCACTATACGAAATACATAAAACCTCGGTAAATAAACTGATTTGTGAATAGTGAAACCATAATTAAGTAAACGGCTTTTGGGCAAAGCTAAAGGAACCCTAGGACAACCCACCTACTTGCGAGGGTCAAAAGAGAGTTATAAATTAGTCTGAGGAACTAAGATTTAGAATCTAAGATTAGGAAATAAAGTAAGGGTTCACATCACAAACTTACACCAGCTATAATGCCAAAATATTATTTAGCCGTATAGACCAATGAAGTTCGTGTTAAAATCCAAGACTCGCGATCCTTAAAAAATAGATGCGCCCCGAGTTGACTGTTTGCCAAGTCATACTACCGCTGGGTTAGATTAGGTTGTACAATGCGAACTGTTCATCAAAATATTCGAATATATTGCGAAGTTATAGCTACGCAATTGCCTTATTTCTGGAAAAATTCTAACTGTTTTGAGGAAGCCGCTATAGAAAATTTTGGGGAAATGCAATAAATTACACTCAAAGAGATCAGACCTGATCATTCACTTTGAGGAACACAACCCGTAAATAGTAATGACGTCACTATGCGTGATTTTTGACGATTCTTTGACGAGCTTTGAGAAAAGATCAGACATGTAAAACTAAACTGGAATACAAAGTTGATACTATTAACTGTATCACACGCGCTCTTAGCAACCGAACGGCAGCTGCGACAAAAACGAAGGAAAATTCATAACAACTGCAAGGTCAAACACTAAATTACCGATATCAATGCGACCAGTATCTAAAGTACAGTAGTGATAAGTCCACGTTGATACTAGAAGATATCACGCGCTTCAGTTGTTCGATTCCCAATTAGCTCTTGGATATAACAGCAAGTGTACACTAAATTCCCCACTTAGTTTGAATTTCAGATTGTTGAGGATTTGGGTTGGAATGATTTGAATTTGTTTAAGAAGTGAAAGTTTCCTATTTGACTCAAAATTATGTTCAATACACAGACAAATCCCAAACACACTCCGGAATCCGGAGCCCCAGAGGTTAATGAAGTGATAAGTGCCAGCTGACAAGGATCTGGGTCTGTGATTCCAAAAGATTTTTAACGCTCTTGTGAATCATCTGTTCCGAAAGTCAATAAAAATAAAGGAATAAATGTATTACAATTATTCGGTGTTTGACAATGCCTTAAGCAGTAGCAACTTTATAGTCAGAGTATGCAAACTGTGGTGTTTGAATGGACTAATGATACCTTTGTACTGGTTGAATGCTTGATTTCAAATTCTAAATACAATACATTCGTTGGTGCCTGTGTCTTCTTAATTCAATTGCGTTAATCCTGGAATTCCTAATTCATACGATAATTAGAATACTATATTGGCGTCGCGATGGAACCTGCAATGGAAAAGTTGGATATTCATTCAACTCCTGAAGCTATTGAGGATTATTTGGAAAGGTTCGAAATTTGGAGCATGACCAAGAAAGACGTTAAAGGTGAGAAAATTGTGGCACATTTTCTGACATTCATTGGGAGAGAAGCGTACAGCTTATTAAAAACTTTGGCATATCCAGAAAAACCTATCTCACTCCCTTAGGCAACTCTTAAAGAGCTATTGTTAAGTCATGTAAAATGCACCAGTTTTGAATGCCGTGAAAGGGCGAAGTTTCATAAGATGGTTCGTCAAAATGACCAAAAGGTTCGGGAATTCATCCTTGAATTACAGAAACAAGCTGCCAAGTGTGATTTCGGTGATCAACTTCATGTGCAACTGAGAGATCGATTAATTGCAGGAATCAACATACCGAGTTTGGAAAGAGAGCTGTTAAGAATGCCAAACTGTTCCTTTCAAGATGCTAGAACTGCATGTATTAACTACGAAGCAGTCAATGAACTTGATATCCAGTCGATGAACATTTCTAATACTTTGCTTAGTCGTCGTGATAAACTACAATCTCAGGGTCAATCAAACTTGCGTTCATTTAACAGTGATTCCTATTCTCGTGTAAATATGAAAGGTGTTTCAACGAGGAATTACAAAGCAAATCACAAAGGTGAGATAAAGTTTGGTAAATGTTTATCATGTGGAAAGTTTCATGCTCGCAATTCATGTGTATTTCGTAATGCTAAATGTTTTAAATGTGGTAAGGTAGGACACATTCAGTCAGTATGCAAAGCTACTGTCCATTTTGCTTCGAGCTGTACTAAATCTTGTAATTTAAATTTCAATAATTCGGATGTTTCTAGTGATCATTTGTCTTTGTCCACTATTTCGAAAGGTAATGCTCATATTCAGAAGCGATTATATACATCGCTTGGTTCATTTCATGACTTTATTCTGGACACAGGCAGTATAGAGTCCATTATTTCATTCAAGAACTTGAAAACTTTAGATCCTAACGTTGTTGTACGACCCACTGAAGTATCAATACTGGGGATTACTGGACACAGACTGCCCATACGAGGATGTTGTGAATTGCTAATCAGAGATGATAATTCTTCATACATACCTTGTGAATTTTTAGTTAGCGAAACAGGACTGTCAATATTGGGTTTAAAGAATCTGAAAAGGCTTAAGGTGGAGTTGTCCTTCTTAGTTTCTAAAGAAAATTCTGATACTTTACTTAAAGATTTGATAGCTATGTGTGCTAAGTGCAGTGGAGGTATGAAAATTAAGCCTATAAAACTTCAAGTACAGGGTGATCCCGTCTTTCTTAAAAGACGAATAATTCCTTATGGTCTTCGAGAAGCAGTACATAAGACATTAAACGATTTGTGTGTGAAAGGCATAATTGAACCAATTCAGTCTTCAGCATGGGGTACTCCTATCGTTACGCCACTGAAGTCGGACGGCAAGACCCCTAGAATTTGTGGTGACTATAGATTAACTCTGAATTCCCGTTTGTTGAAGCAAACGTGCACGACGGTAGAAGCTGAAGATATTCTAAATCGACTTCATGGTTCTAAAGTGTTCTCGAAAGTTGACCTAAAAGATGCTTATCTTCAAATTCCTTTAGATGAATCTTCATCTATTTTGACGACAATTAACACTCCTTTTGGTCTGTTCAAATACAATTTCCTTCCATTTGGTCTAAGTTGTTCTCCAGCCATATTTAGGAAGTTATGAATAATGTAGTTAGTGATCTTGAAGGTGTTGAAGTTTATCAAGATGATCTCATTGTTCATGGCTCTAATAAGGTAGTTCATGACCAGAGACTTATTGCTTTATTGCGTCGTTTAATTGAGAAGAATATAACAGTGAATCCAAATAAGTGTTCATTTTGTGTATCTAGTTTTGAATGCCTTGGATACCTAGTTGATGGTAATGGTTTTAGACCAGATATGAAACGACTAGCTCCACTGACTAATGCACCGTCTCCGAAAAATCTTACAGAATTACGTTCACTAGTGGGTGCTCTTCAATACTATTCTCGTTTTATTCCTAATTTTTCTTGTCGTGCAAATTGTTTATTTAATATTTTAACATCCAATTCATTCAAATGGAGTGAGGAACAAGAGTCATGCTTACGAAGTCTGCTGAAGTTTCTTCAAAGTGATGCTGTTCTTCGAACGTACTCCCCTAATGTACATTCTGTGCTTATTACTGATGCATCACCTGTGGGAATTGGTGCAGTTTTGGAACAGGAAGGTAGACCAGTTATTTGTGTTTCACGCAAACTTACTGTTACTGAACAAGGTTATTCACAGACTCAGCGAGAAGCATTGGCTGTGTTTTGGGCTGTTAAAAGACTTCATAAATATTTATTCGGAAAGAAATTTACTGTTGTTACTGATCATGAAGCTTTAAAGTTTATTTATCATCCCGAAAAATCCTTAGCACGTTCCTCAGCAGCTATGGTTCAGCGATGGAGTATTGCTTTGAGTGCATATGACTATACCGTTCAGCACAGAAGTGCCAAACAGATTCAACATGTTGATTACATTTCACGACAGTCATTACAAGATAAACCTATTATTACTTCGGATTGTTTGTTAGTGCAACCTTTACCAGTGAGACGTTCAGATCTCATTAGAGAAACTCGTAGATATTTTGGATGTATACTCAGTGCTATAAGGAAAGGTTGGAATGCTAATTTGAAACGGAGATTTCCCATCTATTTTTCAAAGCGAGATGAGCTATCTACTACTCCTGATGGTATTCTGTGTTTAAATGATCGTGTTGTCATTCCTCCTTCATTGCGTAAATCTGTTCTTGAAGATCTTCATAGGGGTCATTTAGGTGTTGAGAAAATGAAGTCCTTGGCAAGGCTCACATGTTGGTGGCCAGAGATAAATGCAGATATATGTCGTACGGCGAACAATTGTGAGAAATGTCGTCAGTTGAAAAGTCATCCTTCGAAGTGGGTGCCATGGCCAGTATCGTCTGAGGCCTGGCAGAGGATTCATGCTGACTATTGTGGACCATTTCTTGGTAAATACTACGCACTGGTAGTCATTGATTCTTTTTCCAAGTGGCCTGAAGTTTTTTTCACAACTTCACCAAATTCTGATTTCACAATACAAGCATTAAGAAAGGTGTTTAGTCGAGAAGGTGTTCCCTTGGTGTTGATGACTGATAATGGCTCACATTTTGCTGCGGATGCAGTCACTACCTGGTTGAACGGTATAGGGTGCAAGCATCTATTTACTGCTCCCAGACATCCGTGTTCTAATGGTCAGGCAGAGAATTTTGTTAGGACATTAAAGACTGCTATTGATTCTATAGCCCCCTCAACATTTAATGAGCTGGAGAGGGGAGTAGATACCTTTCTATTGCAATATAGAAATGCCAAACATTCTGTGACAAAAGAGACTCCAGCGAAGCTATTGAAAGGAAGAATTCTTCGGTCGAATATGAGATGCCTAGAGTCTGCAGAAGTTACATACTATCGAGGAAATGATCTTCGACCATCTACGGGTATTGTTCTGAAGAATGTCGGAAAATCGATGGTGCGAATTCTAGACATCGATGACTTAAGTACACACAGTCGACATGTAGATCAAATACAATTTCAGGAACCAGATGAGTCAGTTCCAATTTCGATTTTTAATTCTAATGCTAATGAGCATATTCTAGATAATACAGAATCCTTATCCAATACAATGTCAGACAGATTCAGGATGAATTTGAGAAGAAGACGTACTATTGATTACAAACACCTAGACTCCAATTTAAGCTGTGGCGGATGTGGTGTTTGAATGGACTAATGATACCTTTGTACTGGTTGAATGCTTGATTTCAAATTCTAAATACAATACATTCGTTGGTGCCTGTGTCTTCTTAATTCAATTGCGTTAATCCTGGAATTCCTAATTCATACGATAATTAGAATACTATACAAACTCAATCACATAAGAAGTCAGAAGTGAAGAGGTTCGGAGTTATATTTGAAAGGACATCGACATATCGAAAAGTGATAATTCTAAGCCGGCTAATGGTTGTAGGAGACGTGAGGCGCGGTGTGAGTGAATCCATTAAAAATTTATGCGATCAGCATCGAATGTCGAAGACTTACAGAACTATTGATGTATGGGATTTATTTGCCTCTACATATCACTCCCTCCTGTAGTAGGGTCAGGATGACCCTAACGCGTAGCCAGTCAGATATTTAAACCCAACGAGTTTGTCGTTAGCAAACACTCCTAATAGCATGCTACGTTCAACGGCATCTGGTCGTATTTCCATACTATAAGGGATTATGTGGTACAATATGGTAATGAGAAATAGGTACACTAAAACTTTCGATTCATCGTAAACATCGTCGTTTTTTATCTTTTCCAGCCGTCCTGGAAAAGAAAAATCTGTAAGTGCATGTCGAATTAAAACCGTACCTGCGTAAAGACATAAAAC